CTGCTGGACATATTTGTTTGCGGATCCACGCTTTGTCTCAACAAGACGTGAAATCATTTTTATGATTTTCGGGCAACGCTGGTAAAGAACTTACGGGACGCCGTTCGGATCACTGGGGCAGACTTGCCGCTGGCTTTTTTAAACAACGTCCTCAATCTCAGACCAAAGGGGAGGTACCATTTTAAATGGTACCTTCGGCACCGAAGGCTGTTTGAGACCGCTAAGGATCTCTGGATTGTCATCGAGAGGGCTCTCTCCTCTTTTTATCCGAGTACATCTTGCGTAGATGTAGCTCTAGTTCTTCCTGACTGACAACCAGAGTCCCAGACTTCGGTTGCTCGAATAGACCTCGGGCAAACTGATACGGGTCCCTACAGAATTTCTCTCGCTCCCTTTTGGTTCTACGTCTGTTGTTACAGAAACGCTCGGCACGACAGAGGGCACTGTGTTTGTTCTTTAAATGCAACCAAACTTCATACAGCCCCTCCCGTTCGCTGCCTGTAGCGGCTTTGAACCGTTTTCTGAGGGCATTCTTGTCTGCCCGACACTTCAGAATGTCCCTCTGCCTCCTGCTAGTATTCAGCTTGGCACCCGGCTGTGCCTTTACTACTGTCCCGAACTCGCGGGAGCAGTGTTCATATATTACATCACCAAATTTTGTAAGCTTGTCGCCTAGCGACTTCTTGTTTAGAGTTTGTTTAAGCACCTCACATAATGTAGCCTCCAACTTACACCACACCACCTTCTCGCTTCTCTGGAACGCACTTCTTCAGAAATCATCAAATGTGCTCCTCCGCAGTCGACGTCATAGGCCTCTCCGGGCGAGTGGGGTTCACCCTGCCCGTCGTTCCCTAACGACTCAGAAACTACCACAGGAGTAGTAGTTTTTCGACGGCGTTTACTGCGTGGAGCACCCTCACATTTCATTCTTCCGGCATGCGTTCTCAGACCATGCAACCCCGTGAAGCTTTTCCCACATGTACAGAGCCAGCCCGGACGTTGGGCGAGTATCTCAGTCCGGGGGCTAGCAAGGTCGTCACCGAAGGTATCAGTTGGATTGGGCCCTTCATTCTCTCCCCCCCCCCCCCTTTTCGGAGGGCCCTGGGGGCATATTTCATTGTGGTCGTACGAAATCGGAGGTATTATACTGTGTTAGGGGTGATCAACCCGGTCCACAGTCGACATCTGTCTCCAGATGCCAGTCTTTCCATAGGTGTCAAAAGGTCTTTCCCGATAGTCACCAGTCTTTCCTGGTAGTCTTGTGGTCTTGCCATGATGTTGATCCGTTGTTCAAACCTCAAACCTCAAACCTTTTCTTATCAATTTGTTTTTCTTGAAGTCAGCCACGTCTCTTTTTTTTTTTTTTTTTTTTTTTTTTTCTTATTCACCCACTGTAACCTCCAGTGGAATTGTTCGTCCACTTCTGGACTTTAGTCTTGTTCCAGAACCTCTTTTGGCTACACATCTCTTTTACAGCTCTGGCCTATTTATGATGCAGACTGTTGGTTCCTCGCCTCTTGAAAAGATGTACGACTTCGAGGGAGGTCAGCTACATAATTGTTGCACCTTCATTGCTTGGTTTTTTTTTTTTTTAATGACCAAAAGTCATCGCCAGTTTGTTTTCATTGTTTCATTTATGTTCTCTTTCAGGTTTCTGTGTCCGATCAGATCGTATTGAAGAAGTTTGTGACATGATTACAGGGGATTTTATTTTAAATACAATGGTCAAAGGTGAGTTTTTTGTGGGCTCAGTTTGTCTTCTGAATTAACTAGGTGGTAACGAGCGTCTTCTTCTTCTTATCTTTTGTATTTTCATCATCCTCCTCCTCCTTCTCAGCCTCCTCCTCCTTCTTCTTCTTTTTTTTTCTTTTTCTTCTTCTTCTTCTTCTTCTTCTTCTTCTTCTTCTTCTTCTTCTTCTTCTTCTTCTTCTTCTTCTTCTTCTTCTTCTTCTTCTTCTTCTTCTTCTTCTTCTTCTTCTTCTTTTTCTTCTTTATCTTCATCTTCTTCTTTATCTTCTTCTTTTTTTTTTCTTTTTCAGCATTCCCAGCCCTTGAGGTTCACTGCTACAGATACGAACCGCCTCCATTAATCTTTCTAGTTGGCCTTCTCTTTTACTTGGTGACGCCAAGTGTTTTGTATGTCTGCCTATGTTATAACTCTCTATGGTCTTCTTGGTCTGCCTCATGGTCTGCCACCATCAACTCCTTTGTGTATACATTTGTAACCTCTCTTTCATCTGGCGTTCTATAATTATGCCCCAACCATTTCAATCTGTTAGCCTTCATGATGTCAGTGATCAGTGGGGATTTAAACAGATTATTAATTTCATTGCTACTTCTCACTTTCCATTCCCTACAGGTTCTATCTTTTATAGGTCCAAAGATTCGTTATAAGACTCTGTTTCTAAACAGTGTAAAAAGGACTGTTGAACTAGCAATGAAATGTTGCTATAGTATATTCAGAGTGTTCTTTTTAAATTAAAACCTCTTCTTGACTTCCATAGCAGCACTGTTGATCATGGAGACCTCACTCAGTATTGATCATTGGAGAAAACCCGAGGATAACATCAGCGTGAAATGATAACAGTGTCATTGGAAGTTATAATGTTATCAGTTGGTTACAAACTCCTGTCTCGTGAGAAATTTGCAAAGTAATTTGAGGGTATAATTTAGTTGGAATCGAAATGTATGCATTGTATTTAAAATAACAATTACTTCTCGGCGCCCTGTGTTGAAACACCTAATACTGTATGAATCCTACGTAATTTTAGGTAATACGTGGGCTTTAAAAAATCGCGACTTTGAAATCTCTTGTTTTCATTGTTCAATTATAAACGTTGACTCTGTGTTTATCTTTCGTGCTGGTACTAAACTAATCGAGAAGTATTTACAGGGATGTTTAATATGAGATTTAGACAAATTAACTAAATTAGTTCAATCATGAGAAGCGTCAGACCATACAGTCAGAATACCAGGCTGCCATGCGGGAGATCCTTCAGTAATTTTAGTTGTAGAATGTTAGTTGTAAACAATGACGCGTGGTCTTACCTTTCCGTCGGGTAATAAGCTGATAGAGAATTATTGACACATATGTTTGAACACAAGATTGAACAAAACGAATGTAGTTATTTGGAACCGCAGAGTAACTAACAACCATTGCTTGAAAGAAGCTAATGAAAGTAGATCGCAATATACAACAATAAGAAAGAGAAAAACACTGTTCTTTAGCTGGAAAGATCAGTGGAAAATAAGGTTAGAAGGACCAAGAGATATGATGCTGGATGGACTGAAACGATGGCATGGAGGGATATCATCCAGAGAGCTGTTCCAGGCAACCAGCGATCGTGGTTTGTGGAGACGCCAATTGGCAGGGCACATGATGATGATGATGTCGAGCCGTCGTTGTGTAGCGACTAGATGCACGTCTCTAGATCCGAAGGTGGTGGGTTCAAATCTGATATGAGCCTGGATTTATTTTTTTAAACGGCCTTGGCACCCAGGTCGGCCCAGCTAAAAAATAAGTACAAGTTAAATGAAGTCCTGGGAAGGACAGATGACCGGCGTGATATTGACCACATAACCCACCGAGCGCCAGTTAGTATATAAAACGTACGTCTAGCACTGTATGCCCTATATGCCTGAAGCCATCTTAAAGGGTCCTTTAATTTATGTAATTTAGGTGAGTGGGTGTCTGGCTGAGTAAGTAGAACTTCGGGATTTTATTCGGTGGATTCGAACCCGAACTTATAGTGTTTCATTAAAGACACTGACTTAAAAAAAAAAATAAAGACCAGCACTAAACTAAAAGAAATATTTACATTAAATTATCGAGTAGTATTTTCATTGAAGTTTAACGCAGAAGTTACAGAAATTATGAGTCACGGTTCACTGGCTAGACGCTTGTCTGGCTGCGCGGAGCTCTTAGGTTTGAACCCGTATCAAGGTGAAAATTTAATAATCTTGGCTCACACGTCCGCTTACGCGGAAGAGTTGTGTGCATACATTTTGTCGTTACCTAAAGTAAGCACATGACCCTTTCGTACATGACCCTCACGTACATGACCCATACGTACATGACCCTTATTTACATGATCCTACGTTTATGACCTTTATTTACATATCCTTTACGTAAATGATCCTTATTTACATGACCCTGGCGTACATGACCCTTATTTACATGATCCTACGTTTATGGCCTTTATTTACACATCCTTACGTAAATGATCCTTATTTACATGACCCTCACGTACATGACCCTTATTTACATGATCCTACGTTTATGACCTTTATTTACATATCCTTTACGTAAATGATCATTATTTACATGACCCTCACGTACATGACCCTTATTGATATGACCCTTACGTGCATGGCCCTTACATATATGAACCTTTGGTAAACCGGGCTCCTAGTCCTCGACCTATATTTTAATAAAGTAACAGAAAGTGTATTGATCGGCGCTAATAAAAAGAAGTAGAAAGATAGAAGAACACACTAGACAACATAAAAATCGAAAGCTATAGTTACCGTTCCAGGAATCGAACCAGTCACCTCCAGACTGCGTTTACGCCTAGCTATGGAAGCAAGTGTACTAAGAACATTGTCAACTAGGTACCTTGTATTTGTATAGATCAATCGGCACTCGTTGTGTAATGTGATCAACATCACATCCCCCGGCTTTACTTCCCATGACATTTCCTTATCATACATAAGGTGGAACTATGAGTCGGTGTCAATTTACCCCCCCCCCCCCCCACTGCCACCCCCTTTCCAATCATCTAACACAATGAGATTTTATAAATGCTAAGTTAAGTTTTTTATAAACGCTTGTTTTAAAGTTGTAGTTCTCATGCTATTCAATATCTAAACCGTATTTATACATTTTACCCGTGCTGTTTTTAAATTATATATATATATATATATATATATATATATATATATATATATATATATATATATATATATATATATATATATATATATATACACAATCTTGCTCATTTTGTTTCCAGTTCCAGGTGTGCCGATACCGTGTCCATTCCAAGGACATTACAGTTTTTCCTACACCAACGGAAGTGAGGTCAAATGTGACGACCCGCCTTCCAGCTTCCAGGCATGCGCAGACAGTTCCAGATTTTTATTTCATCACCGGAAGTGCCACAATGTCGGCAACACCAATGATAAAAGTATGTTGTAGTTTCTCACGGGTATTGCTAGTTTTTCAAAATGCAGACTAGCTGCGGCATCTGCGCGACCACTGAGGAACTACCTATTTCACTCTATATTGACCACAACATTCAAAATATTGAGTCAAAAGGTTTTTGTTTTTTAGAGGGCGGGTGATTCTTGTCTTTTTGCTTAGACATTACTTAATCAGTGAACTTAATGTCAGGACCTTTCTGCTAGGTCTAGCTCATGCAATGTTTGTAAACTGTTTATAGTAGCGTACGTTTCACAGTTCCTGTGATGCGGTACACAGCTGTCGTGCGCATATGCACACATCTGTGATGAGAAGCTGCACATAAGATGGAGGGAACAGTGTCGGAAATTAGTGCCGACCGATCCTGTGTTATTAATCTTCTCATGTAATGTTAAACAAACAGAAGGGATTTGTTGTTTTAAAATAAATGTATCTAATTTGAACTGTTACTGTTTAAGCTGTTAGTAATTTCCCCCACACCTTCCCTACTAACCTCAGCTACGATCCGACACTAATAAACACAAACAATTCATTGCGCAACTAGAAAGTATTGCTTTGAGTTGTTAGTTTTGGTTCTTGAGAATACATGTGACTCAGTCACTCAGTCTGCATTTAAAGTATTCATCAAGGGTTGCCTTGGCGGTGATCATGTTTTCTTTCGCTGTCTTGTGTGTGTGCGCGCTTGTGTGTTTCCATCATCTGTTACTACGGGAACAAGACAGGATAAACTTTTCATCTTTGCAATCTATAGCAGAGATCACAGGGGCTGTGGATTTTCGTGCGAGATTGAGGTAAAATGGCCAAGTCAAAGAATCACACCAATCACAATCAAAACAGCAAAAACCACCGTAATGGCATCCACAAACCCAAGTCTAACAGGTATCCATCCATGAGAGGGGTTGATCCTAAGTTTCTGAGGAACTTGAAGTTCTCTAGAAAACACAATAAGAAAGTTGTTAAGGCTGTGGCCAACAAATAGAAAGTAAACACTTTGGGAAGAATGTATGAGATGGTTAATAAAGCTGGTTGTCTCTGTTAAAAAAATATTTAAAAAAAGACAGGATAAACTTGTTACTTGTTCTAATAGCTCTCCATTTACTGTGATGAATTATTAAAAGCTTTGGATATATTATTATGAGCAGGCAGATAGACTGGCTGGCTCTGCACCACTTGGTGGTGAACTGATGTATGACAAGCTGGATGTTGTGAGGGCCCTTGGGGAGCTAGTGAACAGATAAATAATTACGATCTGAGGAGAATGGCACTGCGAGGAGTTACAAGGGGATCTGGCCGACGCTCGACACTCAGGGGACAGGCGAGACGGATATACAATCCGACAGTTTCTGGTACCATCGGAATGTTAACTATTCGCTTGCTGATGAAGATGGGGACAGAGCGCTTATGGCAAGGGGGGGGGGGGGTGTCCCGAGTGCTGTAATGTAGATTCTTAATTCAACATTGAGCAACATTCTTTTGTTTTCCGCGTACGATAAATAAAGTAAGGTTTTATATGTGCATTCCTAGGAAACTGGACTATTAGTTTCTGTTGTAACAGTTTGTGTTTATGTTCTTCCTTCCCCCCCCCCTACCTCCCTCCCCCCTTTCAGTTGAGTCCTTCCAGTGTCTTGCCACCTGGGACAACGGAGTCGACCATTATTTGTACGGTCGTTTTACAGGACCAGCTCTTACAACCAAAGAGAGCCAGTATCGATGCTTTGTAAGTACAGACATTAGTTAACACCAGTTGTAATATAAAGGTATAAAGCAGTACCGTGGTAAGTGGTGCAGGGTGGGAAACACACCACGGTGTGGGTAGCGCAGATATGGGAGACCTAGTATCGACCTGAATGAGTGGATCACTCTGCGGTTGAGCAGAGAAGGGCACTCATTTGTTCTGACAGTCGGAAATTACTGTTAAAAAAATGCAGTTTAAAATACCCTATGTGGGCGTGGAAGGCAACGGGAAACCACCCCATTATATTCCTAAGATATCTCATAAAGAAACACAGATTGAATTAAACGAATGACGTTACTGGAACTCTAAGGACAGCCTCGTCTGGTAGGGACAGTCACAGGTATGGCATGGAGGGATATCATCAAGAGAGCTGTTCCAGGCAACCAGGGAAGGTAGTCTGTGGAGATGCATGATCGCCTACGCCAGTTGACAGAACACATCAAAATGATGATGAGTATCGTGGTAGTTGAGGTTTCAGCTTCAGTGCAGTCACATCACCCCATACTTGCTGCGTTCACATACCAGTGAAAATCAAATGAAATATCATTGACTTTCCTACTGGAGAATTTAGTGAACAAACAGTTAGTCCCGGCACAATATAAAGATAATGTAACAAGTTAATACAAACTGTAAAATCAGACCGGGATAGTCGGTAGTTACGATCAGACCGTGATATCATATGAAGATATGAAGACAATTGTGTTGCATCAAGTTACCGCCATCTGTTATACCAGTTAAAAAGTGTTCTGTCAGATCCACACTAACAGCAGACTAAAAGTGTTATAACAACATAAACTGTAATATCAAACTAGCGTTGCTATACCAAGTTAACGCAAACTATAATAACATTACAAGGTTTTCTATTAAGGTAAAGTGGAGATCTTTTAGAGAAAAGGCTTTGAAGTTGTAAAAACCTGTATGAGCAACAGGACATGGTATTATATTTAAGAAAAGCAGAGGTATTATAGAGACAAGGCTTTATATGAAGTTGTAAAAGCTTTTGTCATTCTATGCGTTACCTGAGTATCATTTCTATGGGAATTGTGTGGCAGAACCCTGTTTTCCCTCTCCAAGTTCAGAGACCTGCAGACTGTGTAAACTCAACACTGGAACTTCACATCATCATATCAATAAATATCCAGTTGTGGTCACAGCGCGGCACGTACGACATTACATCTCTCTGTCCTAAACAACGCACCATATCTAACGGATTGTACTAATGTCAGCATGTTTTGTACCACTAAACAATCTATCCGTCTCACTCCTCTCATGAGTGCTGAGCGTCAGCCAGTCCTCGCTACACAGTTTTCTTCAGACCGTGACTTTCTGTTTGTGCCATAGCTCTGTTGACTGGCTCCCAGAGGACTCAACAACATCCAGCTTGTCATGTGTCAATTTACCACCAAGTGTCGCAGATCAAGCCAGGCTCTCCACCTGCTGATTGAAGAAGAAGAAGAAGAAGAAGAAGTGGTAGTAAAAGAAGAAGAAGAAGAAGAAGTGGTAGTAAAAGAAGAAAAAGAAAGAAAGAAGAAGAAGAAGAAGAAGGAGAAGAAGAAAGAACAACAACAAAAACAAAAAGGTTGAGGCTCTAGCATTTAATAACTGTTACCCTTTCCACGACACTTCCGGGTAAAAAATGTATATAACTTATAAATCTGCAAATAAGAACCGCCGTAGTGTAGCAACTAGATGCTTGCCTAGGGATCCGAAGATCGTGGGTTCAAACCTGAACAGAGTGGGACTTTATTTTATAATATGGCCTTAGCGCCTAGGGTGAAACAGTCTTAAATGGGAACTAAGTACATGTAAAGTCCTGAAAGTTAAAGGGAGCCAAGGAAAATCGCAAGGAATATGGTAGAAATGGGGGGAAAAACGGTCAGACAAACAAAATAAAATGATTAAATTGAAAGGATTTACGCGAAAGAGTTCAAAACATGAAAAGAAGTAGTAAAAACAGAACAGCAAGTTACGAAAATAGTGTCTGAGGATTGTCTTCAACCAGACAGCTTTTCTTTGCTTTAACAGGGTAAAAACTCGCAAGACAAATACCGAGTGTACAAGAATAGCAGTAGCAAATGATTCAAAGCTGGTGATTTGCCAGCTTATAGAATGCACCACGTGTGTTCACACACGCGCACGCGAGTGCACAGAGACACGTATTCGCTCACACTAAGTTAAGGACATAGTAACGGAATAAATGACGCCAGACTTTCTTTTGTCAACTTAGTGAATCTTGAACACTAAGCTCTCCCTCAGACGTTCGCGCGCGCATGCGCACTTTTGACTCAGAACATCAAGTTAAGAATATAAATCCCCGTGTGGGTTCCGGGACCCTAATGTTGGGGGAAGACAAGAACAGACCCACTGCCTGCCCAATGTCGTAAGAGTTGACTAATTGTAAGGTTCCTTTAAAGTCAGAGTACATCTGCCTGCGAAGCAAGGAACTAACAGTCTGCACGCAAAGGAGTCAGATTTGAAAAATGGATATGCACACAACACTCAATTTCTGGAACAGGACTAAAGTCCAGAAGTGGACGACAACAAAAAATTTCCGCCAGAGTTTACAGCCGGTGAACGTGAAGAAGAAGAAGAAGAAGAAGAAGAAGAAGAAGAAGAAGAAGAAGAAGAAGAAGAAGAAGAAGAAGAAGAAGAAAAAGGATTAAATGAAGAAATAGAAGAAAAAGAAGAATGCAGTAACAACAAACAAAAGTAGATAGAGCTGTTTGAGCAACTTAGGTACAGTGGTATCTCGGTTAACGAACGCTTCTAGCCGCGAACAAAGATTCAAAGACACTGGACGTGATTCATACAGACACTGTACCTTGATTTATAAAAACACTGTACCCTGGTATATAAAGAAGACGCTGTACATTAATTGATAACAACAGTGTGCGGTGATTGATTAAGACACTTTATCTCTACTGATAAAGACACTGTATGGTGATCGATAGAGACACTGTACGGTGATTGATAAAGACACTATCTCTACTGATAAAGCCACTGTTTGGTGATCGATAAAAACCCTGTACGGTGATTGATAAAGACACTCTATCTCTTCTGATAAAGCCACTGTACGGTGATCGATAAAGACACTGTACGGTGATTAATAAAGACACTATATCTTTATTGATAAAGATACTGTACGGTTATTGATAAAGGCATTGTGCGTTGATTTAAAAAGTCTGTATATTCATGCTGAATGACATTAACCTATAAGAGGGTGGGGGGGGGGGGGGGGGGTCTTGCCATATGCTCGAATAGGGAATGCAATCTAAAAAACGTTTTGTCCACAGATGTACTCACTGTACGGCACCAATGGTTACATGTCTATGACAGCCGACGCCACCTGCCAGGGACTTCAGTCTCCCAGTCTTGGCATGAATGTCTACAGTCTCAGACATAGTAAGTGCACATTGTGGTCAGTTCTTCTACGGTCTCATAGTAAGTGCACATTGTGGTCAGTTCTTCTACGGTCTCATAGTAAGTGCACATTGTGGTCAGTTCTTCTACGGTCTCATAGTAAGTGCACGTTGTGGTCAGTTCTTCTACGGTCTCATAGTAAGTGCACATTGTGGTCAGTTCTTCTACGGTCTCATAGTAAGTGCACATTGTGGTCAGTTCTTCTACGGTCTCATAGTAAGTGCACATTGTGGTCAGTTCTTCTACGGTCTCATAGTAAGTGCACATTGTGGTCAGTTCTTCTACGGTCTCATAGTAAGTGCACATTGTGGTCAGTTCTTCTACGGTCTCATAGTAAGTGCACGTTGTGGTCAGTTCTTCTACGGTCTCAGTAAGTGCACGTTGTGGTCAGTTCTTCTACGGTCTCATAGTAAGTGCACGTTGTGGTCAGTTCTTCTACGGTCTCATAGTAAGTGCACATTGTGGTCAGTTCTTCTACGGTCTCATAGTAAGTGCACATTGTGGTCAGTTCTTCTACGGTCTCATAGTAAGTGCACGTTGTGGTCAGTTCTTCTACGGTCTCAGTAAGTGCACGTTGTGGTCAGTTCTTCTACGGTCTCATAGTAAGTGCACGTTGTGGTCAGTTCTTCTACGGTCTCATAGTAAGTGCACATTGTGGTCAGTTCTTCTACGGTCTCATAGTACATACTGTGCTCACCGGTTGTACATTACCAGTCATAGTAAGTACATTTTATGGTCACTGGTTGTTCATTATCAGTCATAGTAAGTACATACTGTGCTCACTGGTTGTACATTATCAATCATAGTAAGTATATTCTATGGTCATGTGTTGCATAATCTCAGTTATAGTATGTACACCTATTGTCAGTAGTTGCACTATTTACACACACCCACACACGCACCCACGCACATACACAATGTTGTCATTTGCAGCACGACCTCAGCCATAGCCAGTATTTGTTGTTTGCAACTGTTTTACAGTCGATCATAGAAAGAATGTGATTTTGGCAGCTGATGAAAAATAATAATATTTGTAGATTTATGATATGCTGTGTAAACAAAATGCCCATAAAGCTATATCCGTAATCGCAATCTAACGTTGAGGAACTAACCTAGCATTCTTTAACTGTTTTGGTATTTCTAGGCAAATTTACGTCCAGTAGTTTGCCATTGCTTTCCGGACGGTCAGCTTCTCGATACCACTGTCGAAACCAACGCAAGGCCCGCAGCTGGGATCGAACCCGGCACCGCGGCATTACAAAGCGAGTCCCCAATGCCTAAGCCACAGACGCTGATATCTAACTATAAACGAATCTAAAAAGACATGGGATGAGCTGGTTGAGGGCTGGTGACCTTTGATTGCGGTGTAAGGACAGAACATATATGTGCATACATTTCTTTTATTATTCATCTTTACCTATTCAACTAAAATTATTTTTTTTTCTAGTAGATTCTTGACGACCTTGGCTGGGATTTTTTCACGTGGACTTGGACCTCTAGTAATTCCTCTGGTCTCTGGGTAGTGAGATCGGGCGCCCGTGTGCATTGTTGAGCACGTAAAA